CAGAAAAGGAGCTGCCGAAAGTAACACGGAGTCGAAATAGGTCTGCTGACAAAACGTTATGGGGCGACCGGGTGTGCCGTACAGATAACTTAGTTCCCAAAAATGCTGAGCCATGCAAACAGATAAACGTACTGAACCTTTTGTGATATTTTTTTTCTCTGTGCCCCAAAACACGCCGCCCACCACAAAGGCGTAGTTGACGCTTGAAACTCTGCGAGTTGTTTCGGTTGTCCAACTAGATATGAAACCCGGAAACGGCTTCAGCCAGGAAGTGTTGCCAAACACGCGGAGTTGCTATGGACGGGGGAACACGTGCTTCTATACTTCCGGTCTCTCCGTGTAATACCAGTAACTTTGGCACCCTCAGCGTTCACGGCTCTGGAAATCCAGAAGCTTTTAAAGTTGTAACAAGAACCGGAATACCACCTTTCAATTTCTTGATTTCATCTAACTATATTTTAAGGGATGTAAGCAAAGGCTAATTACCTTTAATTAATTAGGTTAGGTTAATTAGGTTAATTACCCATTTGAAAAAAAAGATTCACACTTATAAAGTCATTGATTTTAATTTAAATACCAATAAATGAACAAGTCTGTAATGAATAAGGGGACATGTCAAAAACACACAATGTACAGACACTCGTGGTGTAATTAAAAGCCAACATGAGAACAACATGCTTGCTATTCATCAATGAAAAGTTTACTTCATGCGAGTTTTACAATTTACAAAAATAACTCTCTTAAAAATCTAGTTTTCCATCTCGTTTTTCTGACAAAAGCGCTTAGAACAGGGGGTGTCCAGTCTTGGTCCTGGAGGGTCCTAAGCCTCTCTGAACAGTTCCTAAACATGGGAGAAGCGAGTAAATTGGGCCAATTAAGCCAATAATGTGGTGAGGTTACTATGAGCAGAGCTGGAATGAAGACATCCAGACACACTCTCCAGACTCTCCAGAACTCACGACTGGACACCGCTGTCTTAGCATTCGGGCAGAAATGAGCAAATGCTGGAGCTTTACAGAAGCTCTGCTCAATCATCACAAAAAACGACAAAGTTGAATTTTATGGATGTTCCTGCTTCTTCTTCCTTTTGGAGCCATCCGTCTTTCTCTTCTTGGCAGGACCGTCACCGTCTTCAACTTCAACCACTTCTCCAGGGCACGCCGGCCTCCCCTTCTTTGTCTTGGCAGGTGTGTCTTCTTTTTCCCTCACTGTAAATAAAACCCGAGACCCCCAGCTGGTTAGAACAGCCCCCCCGCGAGGGTGTCGTCACCACTCAAGATTGTTCTGTACTATTATCCATCTGCCCGTTTCCACTCCGCTTTCCCTGGTGAGGGTGGTGGCCGCAGCAGGCCGAGCAGATCAGCCCCGACCTCCCTGTCTCCGGCACCAGATTCCAGCTCCTCCGGGGAGCCAGCCGAGAGAGAGAATCCCCCCGGCCTGTCCTGGGTCTGCCAGGGGGTCTCCGCCCAGCGGGACGTGCCTGGACCAGCTCCAGCGGGAGCCGGCCGGGGGGGGGGGCATCCGAAACGAGATCTTGCTCCTCCCGATCTGGAGGAGCAGCGGCCGAGTGGCAGGCGCAACTGGAAAGGACCTAGACGGACTAGACCCTGGTAATGCAGCACTATTGTTCTCATTATCAAGAAATTAAATTGTTTTACTTAAAAGTCGGATTCATCTTTGGCACCTGCGGTAAAACTGCAAAAAAAAAACAGCAATACCTGGAGAGGAAGCGGTCGCTTCTTCCCGATTCAAAGTCCTTTTCTGCGAGCTGCACTGCCACACATCCAGACACGCCAGCCTGGCGGTGGTGTTCACTTCGCCCAGCAGTACTGGGGGATCCTTCATCTGCAAGAGACGGGACGCCTGGCTCCATGATTGTGCCAATGAAAGGGCTCTTCAATCAAGTGTTGTTTCAACCACATCCTCACCAATTCCTCATCAGATAGAGGCTTATCTCGGTGATGGGATGCCAACCCAACAGGCTCACAAAGAAAGTGACAGTTTAGAGAAGCCGGACAAAACCTAGGCAGACAGGTGCCCATGGCTGTAGTCGAACCCAGACTCCCAGGACGTGCAGAAGTTGCAGTTCTAACAGCCAGGCCATATGAAAGGACCCTGGGTCATACCGCCACTGGTACATGATTTGACAGGAGTAGATTTACAGTTCACTGACATAAATTTCAGAAAGACTGCAAAACCAGCATCTATAGATAACAATTGCCTTACCTGTTCAAGGTTAAGTTTCCACATTTTTATGTACCCATCATTGGATGCAGATGCAAGGATATGACGGTCATCTACTGTAAAACTGGACAGGGCTTTTACTCTGAAGACAAAGCAAAACCAAAAAGTTTTCTTGTTTCCATTTCTTTAAATATACAGAAACAGGTTCATCATAATAATAAGCAATGTCTATTTTAAGTAACAACTATAAAAGCAACTATCTCAAAGTGCTTTACGATACCTACAAAAGGACAATTCACAATAAAATGAAAGTCAATCAAAAAAGGTAGAAAAAAGCAGATGTTGAACATGAAACAATGACAAAGAAGTCCTGAACTCTGGGGTTCAGTTTCGCAGGCACCATGAGGAGCGGTCTGGTTTATAGATTGCATGGATTTGGAAGGCAAAAGTGGGAAACTTTCAAAATATTTGATCTGTATGTAGAAGTCTTCTGCCTCATCAAAATGCACACCTTAACTGCTAACATTATTCAGTATCTACTTATCTGTTGAAAGGTCTTAAAAGATTAGTTTGTTCATCTTATGAAACAATACAAATGAAGGTGTGTGAAATGTTACAAGAGAAACGTTACTATACCTGTTCTCATGGGCCTTAAACTCGCTGAGACACACTCCAGAGTCCGTGTCATACAGCCTCAAACACTCCTCATCCCCAGCAACTGCAACAATGGAATTCTGGGGGACAGACAACAGCACATTGTTACATGAACAGCATTAAATCTTTAAGATTGATTCATGACCCCATCAGACCTGGGGTTAAACTATTAGGAATTAACTTAAAAAATAAATTCAGGGCAACGTCAAGATGTATTTTTCAAATAAATCAGAATGTAAAATGACACAGCCTTCTAACTACATTAACACACTTATTCTTTTGTTCCCCTGGCGATCTTTCCAATATTTATGATATTTCACCAGGACACCCAAATTATCTGTTATTAGAAAGCTGCTGATTTCTGGTAGGGGCTACAGCAGCCTGGAGCCTGTCCAGGAAGTGCCGCCTGGACAGGGAGGATGGTCCCTGTGGGCACACAGACACACCCATTCTGCACAACTAGAAAAAGACATTTCCCTCAAAATACAGCACTTCTTGCTACTTACTGTCACAAACTTAACCGAGGAGATCCTCTTTTGATTTAAGATTGCTCTCGTTACTGTTGCTGTCTCCAGGCTGTAAACATCTATTTTATTATCTGCCACCACCACGTACTTGTCTCCAGCCGGTGACCACAGAACAATGTGAGCATCTGGAAGACAGTCCATCACACTAGTTAATGCAAGTAAGAAAACAGCACAGCAGGTGTAACAGCTTCACCGAACAGCTCAATCTGTTCTTGAACATATCGGAGACTTCAGCCCAACACAGCTGTAAATGAACCTTTATACATAAGCATAATTCAGAATGAACGACCGAGATCCAGCTGTCTGAACACATCTGCATTAACCGACTGGAACATATCTACATTTTCCTATCCAGCGTGAGTACGCTCTTGAGCAAGTACTACTCATCAGGTAAGAGCAGAGTGAATTCCAAACTGAATATGCAGAAACACTTACTTTCTTTTATGTTTTTGATGAAAGCTGATCGGCCATCTATTAGATTCCACGTTCTGGAAATAAAAAAAAAAACAGCATAGGCAAAATAAAAGGCAAAACTCAAAGTCATTCTGATGGAACAGAAGGAAGAGACATACCTGAGAGTTTTGTCTGTCCCCACTGACAGAGCAAGTTTCCCAGAAGGATGAACTGAAAATGACGATACTTGTCCCCTGGAATAAGGACACATCCAGTAAGTCTTGGCATTTGCACGTTTTCATAACCATGTAATCAGCTCACAGGAATCCACTGCTTATAGGTGTATGCCTTAATTTCAGCCTGTTTCTCGTCCCAAAATATTTATCCGAATACAGTACATACAGTTTTATTAACATAAACATACCTCAGACCTCTCTATCGCATATTACATGACTGCGTTGGTTACTAGCCAGAATGCTGACTTATTTAATATTACAGGAATTATTATTATTGTATTAATTATTAATAATATTATATTGCCGATGGATTTGTTTTTGTTTGATATGCATAGACATGTGAATTTTATGTAGTTTCAGAACAGTAGTAGAATAACAGAAATTTGCGCGATCTCTGCTCCACCTCTTCGGCTTCTTCAAGAACTCCCCTCAATTAATATTAGTCCTTCAATGACCAAGTGGGATGAAACCAGCGACTATAGTAACACCTGCTATTACAGTGTCATTCGCACCTGTTTCTGTACACCAGTAACTGATTCATTAGAAGCAGTTCAGAAAACAATAGGAGGGCAACAATTTTGGACCAAGTCAGGAAATCTTCTTCATTCTATTAAAAATTGTACATTTAGAAGATTATTTTGAAAACTAAGGCACGGAGGCAGAATACATTAAATTAAATAAAGGATTCTGTATTGTTTAACTAATTAAGAACTGATTTGGGACAAAAAGAAAAAGAAGGCAGAAAGGTACTCCAGATCCAGGAATATGAAACACTGCAGCAGGAAAAACTGTCGCTGAGTGTTCTTGTGTGCTGCTATGCTGCACAACATTTTCTCTTCTGACGTCCAAAAGTGCTGATAGATGAGGTCAGGAGACAAAACGTGATGTTTTTACTCAAGATATACTTGTATTAGAACACGAGAGAAGTTCTCAAAACTGAATTACTTGACAGGCAATTCAGATTCAGTATCCTTACACTGTGAAAACAGATGACAGTGACACACCCTTCAGAAACTTACTTGTGAGCTTTAATAGACTGTAAGCATTCCCACTTCTTAGTGCTCCAGATACAAATGAGTCCATCCTCTCCACCGCTCAGTAAGTGGGAACTGCCATAAAACTCTAGACAAGTGATGGTGCCTTTGGGAATTTTAAAACAAAAATGAGGTTCTTTGACAAACTTCAATGCAGACTTATTTCCTTTGACAAATCAAACATTTACCTTGAGATCTAATCATTGTTTAACTAACAAACCCAACCTTCTGTAAAAATACAAATAGCAATCTATTAATACCAACCAGTACTACTTCAGTATAAATATTCACTCACTATACACTGCAAGTGTGTACAGTGATTTTTTTAGTGCCTGGATGAAATTAGGTATTACGACATAACAGACAGAAGCAGGATTTGTTTACAACATTCCCTGCAGTATTCACAAACATTACTATCAGTGTTTCACCATCCTAACTTTCTGCACATGGACTGTCATGAAAAAACATGTTAAACCACAAAGATAACAGTGAGGGATTCAGTACCATCATGGTGCAGCAAAGCTCCATGTTCTGTCCTCTTTTTCATGTCATACAGACAAATGGTTTCATCCCGGCTACCTGTGGCAATAAACTTTTCATTTGTCGCCACCACAGATAAAGACGCAGAGTGAGCGTG